GAGCAAACACCCCATGCCTTTTTCTGGAAGACCAACATTCCCTAAGGGAATTAACTTGTTAGCTTCCTCTCCATATGATGATCTCTGTTTCTTGAGTATTCCTTTTTTTACAGCTTCTGTTTGATTCTCTCACACTGGAAGACAGAGCTTGATTATTTTGTTTTCTTCTAATTTTTTCAGTGTTTGCAAATCTATTTTAACTAACTTTGGATATAATTTTTCCCAGTCTTTGCACCACCAGTAGCCACATTCATGATCATTAAAAAAATGCCACAATTTGTTCCAAGTTTAATATAAATAAAATACATTTACCTCATTTTCATTGTTAAGACCTAAGAACGTAACATGCATATGAAAAGAGCATTTGCTTCATATTTATATAGGAAGGTAACACAAGCAAATCGCAAATAATGGTTAGCTGCTACCAATTATTTTCTCAATAACTAGAATTATTTATAAGGTAATGTCTCTCACCCTCAAAACCACACTTTTCTGTCTCTGTTGGATACAATAAATTGCTTTGTTCAGCTTACTATACTTTTTCCTCTTTAGACAAGATGAAACATGACTGGGTAAATAAGATTCAGCAGTTACAGGACAGACAATTCTCAGTCTAAATCTTACAAATCCTTAGGATGACTAAAAATTCCCACATCATTTATTTATTTTTACAACACCATAATTTTTAGTCTGGTACCATAGCCAAATTCTAATTGGAGCAATTACAGTCTATTTAAATTCTCCCTCTAAATCAGCAGGAAATGGCTTTATTCCATTCTGAACAAGTATTACCGGTATGTCCTGTTAAACTTCTGAAAAAAAAATTAAAATATCTCCAAACAATTCTAAAACCTGCACACAACTATGCTATCATTTTGGAAACAGGCCAAATCAGAGTACAGCCTTGGGCCATGAAGAGGCCCAAGGCTGTACTTTTTTCAGGGACATAATTACAACATGATTAGTATCCCTTTGGTGTTGCAGGGGGAAACAGTTCTCTGTTCCAAAGGAGAATGAACTGTAACTCAGCTCCAAATAGAAGGCAAATCCTTGCAAATCCAGCTGGTAAAATCTTCAACAACAACCTTTACTGGTTGCCTCAAACCAGAAAAAGTGTGATAACACTACATTAAGTTTTGTTAAAGATCTCAGCATATTTTCTAATAACATGTATGTAGAAGACAGCATTAACAAATACACACTCTGTTTCTAAAGTCCTCTAACACATGTCATCCATTCCCTTGAAAAATGTGTAGGTACTAGATTTAAACCTGTCTACCTAGCAACACTGACACAACCACTCTTGCTAGTCTTTGTTTCTCTTCAGATTTTAAGTGCACACATATCAGACAGCCTCTCAGTGCATTTTGCCAGGGAAAAAAGCTGACTAAGCCTCTACCCTATTTCCCAAACAAAAATATACCACATGTTATATTGTCCTTATTATCCATTTGCCCTCTTGTAAAATAAGCTGTTTTCTCTTTTAATTACTTTCCTGAAATTTTCTAGAGAGGTTTACATCACAGGATAAACCATACCTGAAAAACTTCACCCTATAGAAGATGTTCTGCTTCCTCCCTCCCCCTCTCAGCTTATGACTGTGTGAAAAACGGACACTGATGATCCCACCAGATTTTTACACCATTAGAAGAAAAGGCACCACAGAAAAAGTAAGTGCTGATCACAACTCAAATAACCAGCTTTAACTTTCCTCACTCTCCAAATTATTGCAAGCCTTTTAAATAAAAGAGGATACTAAACCAAGGGGAAACTATCAGGGGGAATTAAGACCATATGTACCTACTGTCCTCAAAATTTATTAGATAGAGCACTATTCCTTACACTACTACAAAACAAGCACTGTAATGCATTTGGATAAATACTCACAAGCATAATGTGGTTTGTTAAGAATCAACACTTTTTACACAAATGGAAGTGAATGATAAAAATTAGGAAGTCAATGACTAAATTAGGAAGTCATTTAATCTAAATATTTATTGGTTAAGTGTAACTAATCATCAGTATCAACACAGATTAAACAAACATAGAAAAATCCTTTGAAATAGCAACACAAAGACTTGCATATAACAAATGAACTTAGGTCAATTCGAGGGAAAAGAGTACCTCAAGTCACAATTCAGATATTTAATACAATAACTAAGGCTCTGTTACAAAAATTATGTTTGGTTTGCATTGCGGATGATTTATGCAAATTATAAAAATTGCCTAACACTCAAAAAATACCAGTGCCAATTCAAAACATTCAGCAATTAACTGCAGTTAGTAATTTTTCCCATAAAAACACCAAGACGGAAGACAATCTCCCATCAAAGAAAATAACTACCACCTACTCCTTCCACCTTAATGTTTATCCAGTAAAATAACTCATGTGAGCTGGGCAGTCTTGGGCCAACCCTGGTCTCTAAAGTTGTCTGCCTCATAGCAAGCCAAATTTGACAAACATCTTTACTGACAGTCTGCCATAAGAAAGCAAAAACTGCACAAGCAATAGCGTAAAAAAACCCACATCTGACGTCAGGCTTGAGAGACAGTGGGAAAATGTCAGGATGAAGCGATTTTTATGTATTTTATCTGTCATACAAAATTCACAAGACTTCAGATTACAAATTATACACTGCAACACCTAGAACTACTAAAGCAAAATTTGATTCCATCAGGATCAAAACCACAGACACTTGTGTTTTCAAGAAATTACTTCAGCAACAAAATATGATAATAAAAGAGAGAAAGTCTCACACTACATCTGGGTAGAAAAATATTCAGCTTTTAGTTCCTCCCATCTCAGTTCTGCACCCATGCAAACCGACCACAGGCTATGTACAAGCAAAAGAAAGGAATCACAGGGTTCTCACAACTGCAACACCTGCCTTCCTTGGGGCTCGCAAGATCATACTGTGATCACCAATCGATCAACAGGAAACCAGGAAAGCACAGCTGCTTCCTGATTCCCTTCACAGGAAAGAAAATAACTGAGTTCATGAGCAGCAATAAGGGAAGGCTCTAGACCCCAAAGGCCTCTGGCATTCACACTGACACAAAATCTCCCCAGTTATAAATTAACTGTTTAGACTGAAAACCCACAAGTCTCATATTTCTGCTGCTCTGCTTATTCTCAACCAAATCTATTCTAGACTGTTTTGTAACTATTGTCTTAAGTTCAGACAAACTTAAATCACACCAGACTGCAAGTTACCTTTCTGTCTGAAACTTTTCATTAGGGTCTTTTAACTCTGGTTGCCAGTAACTTCACTTCATCAAGCCAGTTGTAGCATATTATTCAAATACGTATGAATAAAAAATAAATACCAGTGTCTTGTTAGAAATTAAAGCAGCCACTCAGCACAGTGACTACTGAGAAAGACAGGCTAACATAAAGTCAGCTGTTCCTGGAAATTGTTTTGCCTTTGGCATCCTGAAGAAGTTGGCAGAAAATAAATAGTGATTTTAATACAACATGACCCAAAGCAACTTAAACCCACTGAGTCTATGATGCCCTCAGGAACAGACACCAACTCCACAGTGCCCTGACAGCTAAAAAGTTAAGACAATTTCTGACACAGGTCAACAGTGATTAAATTTAGGTTTTGTGTCATTCTCAAAGAAAATTCTGTATTTATCTCTGCATGGTTCCCTGAGACAGAACAAGCCATCTGCAGGGTACAGATACAATCACAGGAGATATGGAACTAAAATGTGCAGTCTGACAATTAAAGAGATCCACAGGCAACAGTGAATCAAATTAATTTGGTGAAGTGATGTAAATATCTAAGACACCACAATTTCCCACCACTTATGCCCTGTAAGCAAGAAAAAACAAAACAAGAAAACTTTGTCATCACATAGGTTTAGGCTCACTCTAAGAATTACTCATGTCATGACTTAAGAAGTTCCTCTCAAGCATTTAAAATGAGACCTCTAAACTTTAAATTGTAAGTTAAAAACATGAAAGGTAAGAGATGTTATAGAAAAAGAAGAAAAAAACTGAATCCCTGGTAAAATCAAAAGGAAAGCCTTGGGACACCTGGAAATTCAGGGTTTTTTAGTTTGCTTTACATTTGTGTAACAGGACACACAGGTCTTCTTCTGTTACAAGATGGTTCAAAACAGCTATAAGTAAGGCTGTTTTCACAAGACTTCTATCACTGTTGTTACACATGGAAACCATCACACCCAATGCCACAAAATATTCAATCCAGGCAGTTTTGAAGAACAAACATCAAACCATTAATCTTTTCACAGAATGATCAAATAATCAAGGTTGGAAGAGACCTTTAAGACCATTCTGTCCAACACTGCACTACCACTGTAACCCTTAAACCACATCACCCAGTGCTAGATCCAGATGCCTTTTAATTAAATACAGGAAGGCTGGTTAACTGAATATCTGTGATACCAAAGTCAGGCTGTTAGGGGTTCTCGATTTCAACACAGATAAAAAAATCTCTACTCTTAAAAACAATTACGTCTGGCACTTATTTAGAAAAAAGCAAATCAAACACAAATAAACAATAAAAAAAACAACCACCCAACCAAAAAGCCCTCCGTTACCAAGACTTCATTTCCTAAAAACAGTTCTGGCACAATTGTTTTCCCCAGATTCAAGCCTACCTCTGCCTCCTCTTTCTCACACAAAATTCTGAATATGCTTTGGGAAATAAACAATTTAAAATAGCCATATTAAATATTTATTTATCTAGTTCTTTCATAACATGAAAACATATATAGTAATTGATGCTGAATTGCCCTTGAGACTCACTCATGCATATTTTTATTTTAAATCCTGATATTTTTAAATAAAAATAATTATTTTAATTTGATGAATTACCATTAGAAACACAGATAAACTGCAAGAAAAACAGAAAACCTGCATTTTGAAAAAGTCATACATCACCTGGAAATTCCATCAAAAAGGAATGACACACATACAAATCAGAGCCCATTCAAAGGATTAAAACATCAAAAGGAAACAAACTACTTACATTATCTTCCTCCTCTGTATCATCATTGTCATTGTCGTCATCACTGTCCTTGAACCCAGGGGGAAGTGGTGGCCCGATGAATTCTTCATCATCATCAGTATCCTCAGCTGGACCTTTAGCAGAACTCTGGGATTGCATTGAAGGACCACTTAATGCTTCATTTGAGTTGTCCTCACTTTCACTACACACTGCCTCTCTACAAGGAAAATTTAAAACATTACTATTTGAAGGATATTGTCACTTCCACTATGATTTTCAGATAAAATACGTTAAGCACTCTTGTAAATCAGTAGACACCAAAATTAGCAGCAAAACGCATACTAATTTTCATTAACAGAATGAAGGCCCACCACCATCTTTTGAAACACTCTAAAGAGTTCCAAAAGTTACATTAAATTACCATTCTGCTACCAAGTGCACAAATCGGTTGCACAAACACATTATTTTTGGCACATGTAAATTTCTGAAAAGCTGAGTAGTTGTCTCTACGTTCGTGTAGTTTATTCAAAATAGCCGCACTCCCTCTGCTGGCAGTTCCCAAGCCACACCACTTGAAAGGGCAGGTCTATTCAGAGAGAGCAGCTCAACTTTCAAGACTTTGTTTGGGAGCTTTTATTTTCAAAATTTTTAAGTGAGAAGGCTGAAAAACATAGTCGTCTTTTCCTGTTTCTTTGTAAAACTACAGAGGTATTGTTTCGTTTGAGTTTTTTTGAAGTTTAGGTTATCACTTTAAAACTATAATAAAAAACACCGAAGTTCAGGAAAATAATAAAATACTAAGAAAATTGGTTCTGACCTATGTAATTGTTACAGAGAATGCTACCCTGCTTTGCCTCCAGAACCAGCTGTACAAGCAGGTGCTAAGCTGCACAGAAAAAAACATCTGTTGGATAAGTAATTGGAACTGTGTTTCAGGAAGAAAAGAGAATAAACTAAAACCAACATGACTGAGGTCCTCAGATGCTACAGTGAAGAGCAGGGTTTGCCTCACACCTTGTCTAATTTAAAGACCTAGGTCAGAATATGATTACCAAACAAAGCTAACTCAAATAAAAAGAGCTTCTCTTACTCTACAACAATTGGGCAATCAATACCCTTTTACCAAAGAGAAGGTTTTCCAGCATGTGAGGCACAAATTGGGTTCTTCAAGTAAGCTATCCTCAAAACTGACTTTATAATACTATACACAAAAAAGCTGCATTTTGAAAGCTGATATTCATTCCTACACTAGCAAGCCACACATCTTTTCCCCAAAAGCCAAACCACTTAGTGTTGGAATGGAACCAAGTACACATTGTGCCAGTGAGAAAGATGTATACAACATAATGATTCAAGGAGGCCATTCCAGTCTGAATTCCATTGAGTCTCAAATTTTCAGATCTTTACACAGACACCCAAGAAGAGTACCTACCTTTCTTCCTAATTACCTTTCTCATTCTCTCATTTCCTGAGAAGGAAATTGATCAAATCAAACATTTCAGTATTCTGAGGGGCAGCACAACCATTCTGCATGCGATATGCGTTGAGCTGCAGTGCAATTTTTCACCACGCTTCAAGCACAGCAGGGACAGCCAAGTACTCCAGCAACAGCTACAGGTATCCTCTGTGCTGACTGGGATAGAGTCAAACATAAGAACACACCAATGCAGCCAGACCAAAAGCCCATCTACTTTTTTGACAGCAGCTGGGAGTGGCACCAACAGAAAGGGCAAAGCAAGTGGTGGTTTCCCTTCTACTTCTACTCTTACAATCTTACTCTACCAGGGGCTGTAAAGAAAGAAACATTTTGCCAGCCCTTTCCCAGGATTCAGGAAACTGTAAGGAATTTTTTTTTTGCTTTCCCTCATTATCTCCTCAGTGAGACAAGCTGTAAGAGGAAAAAAAAAAAAAAAACCAACTGTAATAGAGTACAGATGGCACACTGAGAAGAGTAATAATAAAAAACATTCCAAGAGTTGTGCAAGTACGTGGGCATATCACCCCCATGTGTTCATTCTATGCACATCACCCAATTTTCTCAGGTTTTTCCTTCTCATATACTAACAGATTCCTTCATTTCATAAGGTGTAATTATTATGCATAAATTAAGTACTATAACTACTATAAATATTTCTCTACAACAAAATAGTTCAGGAATAAATAATCATAAAATAATCATTAGCTGTATTTCACATCATTTTGAAGTGACTTTTTAACAACTGAAAAATCAGTATAAGGGCTACTCTGATAATTTTTAAAATATCAGATAATTTAAAAAAAATTAAATTCAGTAAAGTGTTGCCATTATCAGAGGATAAAAGATGCTACATATGTTATATCAATTTATAGTAACAAAAATCTTTATTATAAAAAGAGCTAGAAAACCCTGTATTTCAGACTAAAATTGTCAGTTGCAGGATTGTTTTCAGAATTAAGACTGAGTAACAACATCATATCTTTCTTCTTTAAAGAACTAAGCTACATATCCTTTTTTATGTGGAAACATAAAACTTCCAGAAGAGCTTTTCATGTTAAGCCCTTCCTTCTTAATGCCTAGTAAAAAAACAAAAAATAAGGAAAATTTACTATGAGCAGAACTCTGATGAGTTATCAGAGCCTACCAACAACTCAGCATACTGATAGGTATTTGTATCTTCCTTTATAATAAGTCCCTGGGGGTCCCTCTTGTCAAGTCTATTAGAAGAATGAGATAATTATGGAAAGCCTCTGTATTGCCTACTCTCCACCTTATCAGCTGTTTAAATTGGAGTTACCCATTTACAATACACGGTCGTGCTACATTTAAATTCTTGTCACCCTTCATTATGTCACCAAATGGGTATATGAGATCATCAGAAGCAAATGGAAGCACGGAGTGCTTTTCCTTGACCACAAGACGTAATATAGGATACAAAAGGTGCATAATATACTGTGCAGTCAAGTGTTTTCAGTGAGAGCATCCAGGTTTTCCAAAGACCAACAGGCAAAATCAAAATTTTCTAATAAAAATCTCTTCAATCAGAAACTCTAAAAGTTTGTCTATAATAGCCAACCACATATAGGCCCTATCAGCCCATAATATGCATATATAGAGGTCTACTAGAGTCTTATATGGGTTGTTAAACTTCCATAGATACAGGAACCTAAAAATGTACAGCACACTCATGTCTGCCAGACCTGCCACACAATTGAGTTGTGTGGTCCCCACTGCCTTCAGCTACTTTTGATTTCCCAGAATTTTGTAATTTAAACTGTAAAAACTATAGCATATATTGTTTGTCAGTAACAGGCAAAAGTTTAAGAGTAAACTTCAGACTGAAGAAAAAAGGAAAGCTTTCTCTACCTCACCATTACTCCATAAAATCCACACACAGAGGTACCTACTTTGCCTTCTTTTTCATCAGGCATGAACAAGAACATTGTGTCTACAGGTGGGCTGCTAATAAAGTCATCACATGTTGTCATTGTATTTGCCCCAATATTTTCAAAAAACACATGAACATAGCTCTTATTTTTAAAAAAGTATATAGAATAGGATCAAGGAGGAAGCAGCAAAACTGTCTATTAAATATACATTATGTCAATATTTGCAAATATTGACATATCTTTAAGAAAGTTTTTTTTTAAAAAAGTTTAAAAATCAGTATTTCCACTGAAATACTTAAGATAACAAAACATATTCACACAAGCTAAATGAAAATCATTGTTAGGGGTCAGGTGTCCTTCTTTCAGTTCTGCCTCACCTGTGGAATTTTTACCTGTTAGTTCCAGGGGGAGGGGGGACCTGACTGCAGGTACCAGGTGGGTACTTGAGAAACACAAGGAGTTCGGCTGGGCCGGGGGGAAGGGGGCAGGAAAAAAGGAGGGAGGGGACAGTTCGGCAGCTTCTTCAGCTTCGGAGAAGGACGCTCTGCTGGAGCTGTTGCTGTGGGGAGAGGGGAATTCGCCATCACCCAGACAGAGCTGCTGCTTCTCCTTCTCCCCTCTTCGTTGGTGGCCTCGCACTCCCCGTCCTGCCGGGACGTGTGGCACTGCCAGGCAGCACCACGGAGCTGCTGATCCACCTCAGCCACCGCCCCGGGATCTCTGCTCATCCCTCTGCTGATCCACCTCAGCCACCGCCCCGGGACCTCTGCTCATCCCTCTGCTGATCCACCTCAGCCACCGCCCCGGGATCTCTGCTCATCCCTCTGCTGATCCACCTCAGCCACCAGCCTGGGATCTCTGCTCATCCCTCTGCTGATCCACCTCAGCCACCGCCCCGGGATCTCTGCTCATCCCTCTGCTGATCCACCTCAGCCACCGCCCCGGGATCTCTGCTCATCCCTCTGCTGATCCACCTCAGCCACCGCCCCGGGATCTCTGCTCATCCCTGCTGTTCCAGCCGACTGTTCCTCGGAGCCCTGCAGGAGCACCGGGACTGACTGCCCGAGGGGGTTTGTGAAACAAAGCCTCTCCTCCATCCCTTCCCATCTCAGCTGAGAAAGCTGTCACAGTGTCCCTGGTTCTGTTTTCTTGCTAACGCTGTAGTTATTGTTGTGTGTTTGCCTGGTTATACACACTGGTAAAGAACTGTAGTTCCTATCCCCAGATCTCTGCCTGAGAGCCCTTGATTTCAAAATTATAATAATTCGGAGGGAGGGGGTCTACATTTTCATTCTAAGGGTGGATCCTGCTCTCCCTAGCAGACACCTGTCTTCCAAAACCGAGACAATGAAGGACAAAAGATGAACTGAGACAGCCTGATTGGTGCGACAAGAAGGGCAGGTTCCCGGTCTTTATTCAGAACAGAAGACAACCAGATACGAAAGTTATGAGTTCTTCACTTCCCAGAAAGCTCCCTGAAATAATTTCTTGGTCATCAAACAGTGCAAATTCAAGTAAGTAGTAAACAACTTTCAGTGTAAGTACGTACAGGCAACAGCCACGAGGTTGGAAAACACTGCAGTATCAGAGAGAAAAAAATGCTGTAGCACATGTATCCCCTTTGAAGAATAAAGTTATCTCACAGTACAGAAATAAAGGAATTAAAGCAGGAGGAAGGGCATGAAAATCTATAAGAAGCTGTACAGGGGGTTGAAACATGGTGTGCACAGGAAAGTAGTCTCTATGTTTAGTTGTGAGACAGAGAAATAAACAGGGCTTTTCAAAGAATCTTGCATTTATCCTGGTCCATGTCTCCCCTTCTTCGATTACCCCTCCAGCCTCCTGGTACTGGGAACTCACATGTTCCCAGCAGCAAGATCAGCTGTTGC